AGGCAAGGGACCTTAGGTGAGGTCCGACTGAACACGAGTCGTCAAAGTTTTCAGAGCGTCCAGTGCCTCTGGTCAGAGTCCCGGGTGTGTCCGGCATAAATGCATGGATGCTATGAGAGGTCCCGGTGGCTGGAAGATTTCAGGCTCCACCTTTTCTCTTCTTTTACGATGTCCTGTGCTTGCCCAAGGCAAGAGCCCTGTGCTGAGCTGGGTGTTGTCTGAGAATGCTGCTGACAACAGGTGGGGTGCTGGGAGTTGAGCCTGACATTTGCAATTAGAAGCTACATATGTATCCCTTGCCAGGCAGGCGCTGTGCCTCTGAGCTAAATCCCCAGCCCCATGAAACCATTTTTTAATGGATCCTATATTTGCTAATATCAATAGAAATTGAGACAAAATATAGTCCACACATTTTAGCAAAATCAGCATAGCCTTAGTGTGTAAAACAAACAATGAGAAAGTAACCAACACCACATATGCGTTTCTTACTGCTGTAACACATTGTGACACACTTTGTAAAGCTTAACAGGAGCTTACTGCCTTTGCACATCTGGAGGTTTAGAAGTTTAAAGTGTTTTTTAGGAAATTAAAATCAAGGTACTTTCAGGCTGTGCTCCTCCTGGAAATTCTGGGGCACTTTTGGTGAAGCAACGTATGTGTGCTGCAGCTGGCGGTTTGTTACCACTGAAAGCTCCAAATAAGCCATGTTTATAGATTCTGGGGATTAGGATGTAGACATGATTGTTTTTACTACAGGTCTCACCTTACAGGCACGTCTTCAGTGTCTAGATATGGACCTTCTTTGTTTCTGGGGGATATTTAGAGGATAGTGAGAAGTGAGGAAATACATTTTAAAAGATTTTGAGACTTTTAGAGGCCACCTTGCATTCCTCCCTTGTATATCTCAGTGCCCTACAATGATGCTTTTATTTTCATGTTGTCAACATTGATAATACTCTGAGACTTTATAATCTGTTCTGAAACGTTACTAAGTAAATTGACGCTGAACATAGCAAACACTGACGGTAAGGCTGCCGGCATAGGCATCCCCAAATATGCAGTCAGTAAGGAGTCTGGAAATCCTGGATACCATTCAATTTAGTTATCTTGACTCTCAAGGAGTGAGTTCTAGAGAGGTTATGCTTTACCAGTGAAAAGTAAAAAAAAAATTTTAAAACAACTGACCTCTGTGGGAAAGTTGTGATGTTTATGCCACTGTCAAATCTCCCCTTTCATTTTTATTATCAGAGAAATAAGTTGCATGGGGAAAAAAATAAAAATGTGAATGAGCCCTTTTAGTTCAAGAGCCCTTTTCTGTGCCAGCCTCCTGCCCTTTCTCCAGCCTCACTCAGAAGCAATGACAGGGGAGCCTCGGTTCACCAGCGTCATCCCTTCTGTGACTTCGGAAGAGATGGGCATCTTTGTGTGTTTGTGGGAAGGATGGCCGTGGCTGTTTGTCCCAGAGGTGGAGTTTGCAAACAGAACAGAATTCTGTGAAACACTTCTGTTTGTGAACCAAATTATTTGCAAAGAAAAGTGTTTGTGAACCAAAGTACCACTGAACTTTTAATTACAGTACTGGGCACTCAGACCTAAATTTCTTACTAGTTTAATGATGTAAAATTTCTCTTAAATATGCTTTGGCCTTTCTTTTCTTTTTAGAAGTAATCAGGGAATATCTCTTGGCTTCTTTGTAAAATGAGGTTATTTCACGCCCATCCTGCCTCCCATCCTTCCTGCCCTTCCACTTCTCAGTACCTTGCAGTGAGACTTCATGTTCACGTTGTCAGTGTTGATGGTTCTCATTCTGAGATTTTATAATTTTTTTGAAACATTACTAATGCAGTCTATGAAATGACACTAAATATTGCAGACCAGTAAATGGTGTATGTTGTTCAATTCTGTAAAGACTTTTCACTATAGAGTGGAGTAATGTGCTCGAATTCAATTTGCTTCTCTATTGGTTTAGTGTTGTGATTGGAGCACCAGTGAAAGGAGAATTTTCCCGGAACCAAATTAGATAGGAAAATCAGTCTTTCTCCCAATTACATGGACCAGATCATTACGTTTACCCAGTCTGTACGTTTTTCTGTTTCAGTCATTTCATCTGTTTCCTTCCATCCTCTTCCCTTCTTTACAAGCACCTCCCTCTCCTCAGGGGTAGGAACAGCTGACCGCGAGGCCTCCCGTGTAGCTCTCCTTCTGAGACTTCGCTGTGCCTTCCCTGTTCTCTGATGCGGCATCCACTGTTTTCTGCATCACACCTTCCCTTCTTGCTTTACCTCCTCTGTCTTCTGGTGGTCTAATTTCTGAGTTACCAGACATCTGTAAGTTTCTGTAGTCGTCTTACATATTTATTTGATGAGTTGGTTGCAAAAGGAATTTATTTTGTTGTTTAATCAGGATTTGGACTGTACCATTCCACTGCCATACCGATTCCTGGGACACTTAAATAGCCCATTTTAACTTCTGGGGACATTTAATACCTTCTCTTTGTTCCTGAAGTTTTAAAATTTAACAGTGATGTGTTTAAGCATGGCTGTTTCTCATTCATCTTAAAGTTGAAGTTTGCAGTACTCTGCGGTTCTCTCTCGGCCGCCTCTGCTCCTCCGGCTCATCCTGCCCAGCCACCCTGGCTTCCTCCTTCCCTGACCATGCTTCCGTCTTTCACTGCTGTCCCTTCATCACAGAATGCGCTCTCATCAGGTCTCTGATTGCCCAGGGCCTTACCTCAGTCAGATTTTGTTCAAATGTCATTTTCTGAAATGACATCCTATTCTTTCTGATTTAAAATCACAGTCTCACATTATCCAAGCACACCTAATCATTTTATCTTCTCTTTAACTTACTTTATAGTCCCTATCACAAAAATAACGTACTAAATAAAAGTATATGTGAAAATATACACGTGTGTCTGTTAGTGTGCCTGAGTATTTATGCATATATGTGTATACTTTGTATTAGTTTGCGGTAGTGGGCACAAGGTACTGTATACAGGCTGGGTGTTAAACATTAGTTTATTTTCTGACAGTTCTGTGGGCTAGAAATTTGTGATAAAGCTGTTAGGAAGATTAATATCTTCCAAAGGCTCTCTTCATGGCTTATGGATTGCATCTTTTTCTGGAGTCTTTATGTGGTCTGTCCTCTGAAACTGTGTCCAAATTTCTTCTTCTTATAAACACACACACCATATTTGATTAAAGCCCCACTCTAAAGACCTCATTTTAGCTTAATTATCTCTTTACAGACCCTTCTCTAAATACAGTCACATTCTGAAGTGGTGGGTATTTGAATTTCAAAATATGAATTTGGGGATGAGGCACAATTCGTCCCTTGACATTCCTATTTTTGCATTCCGTCTCCTTCCTAGAATGCAATCTTCATAATTTGAGGAGGTTTGTTGTTAGTAGTGCTTTATTCATTGATATATGTCCAACACCTAAAACAATGCCCAGCACATCATAGACTCTCTCTGAGTCTAGGGTAAACAAATACTTACCCTAGCCTTTTAATGAATTATTTCAATCTAAAAAGTCATATTTTCTCATTATTCTCTTACTATTTAATGTAGGTATACACCCTTTCTCAGATTCTCTGTATTATCTTTTTATTTCTTCTAATTGAATTTTGGACCCATTGATAGATCCTGCATATCTTACTTTGTCAGTTTCTTGTTGTTCTAATTTTTGGGGGGAGGTTTTTTCAGCTTCACTTTTCAAACACTTCTATAGAGTAGTCTTTATTTTGGCAAACATATTTTAAATTTCCAGAGGTTTTTTAGTCTTTTCTCATGGCATTCTAGTATTGTTTCATAGGTGTTGTATATTTACAGATCTTTCTGCAGTTATTGGATCTTATTTCTCTTATGTTCCCTGAAATTTTTGTTTAATTTAGGATAATTTTGTTGTTGTCTGTTTTGTGTTATTTCTCTTACACATTTATTCAGCATATCTTATCCTTAACTATCTGGTAATCCTTGAATATACATTTTTATTTTGTAATGAGACAGTAATGGACTAGAGGTTTATTTTAAAGGTGGTGAGTTTTTCCTGGTGACTTTACTTCATAATGACCTGGCTGCAACTCTAGAGGCCCCCTTCAAAGTACAAATCAGAGGTCTTTATTTGGGGGCCAACGTGCACAGTGGCTGTCTTAGGTCACCCCAAATAATTTATTCCATTTTTTTTTTTAAAGACTGTTATGATTTGGATCAAAAGTATACCCCAGAGACCAGCTGGTGGGCTTGTAGGAAGTTGGATCAGGAGGCTGTCAAGCTCACCAGTAGATTATTGAATCCATAGCTAAATGGCTGCTTGGAGGTGAGACCTGGCTGAATGGAGCAGATCATCATGGGAGCCTGAGCGTGGGACTGTCCGAGCACTGGACTCATCCTGTTTTTCTTTCTCTGCTTCCTCCTTGCTGTGAGGTGAGCACCTTGCCTCTACCACACCCTTCCACCATGCTGTAGGCCTCACCAAAGTCCTGTAGGGAATGGAACCAGTTGACTGAAACCTTTATAACCTGGGGCAGTTGTAAATTTTTTCCCCTTTAAGTTGTTTTATGAGGTCTTTTGTTGCAACAGAAAGCTAATACAAAACCCTTCCAGCTTTTTACCTATTTACCCAACTTGATATATGGAGGATGGAATCAGTGAATTCTTACGAATGCTTTCAATTCATATCTTTGTTTTCATTATTCTCATCAATTCAAAGACAGACTTACTCGGGCATGCTCTAACTCCTTTTCCCTGCCTGTTAAATGATAAAACAACCAACCAGTCAGACACACTCGCTGTCCTTTCTGTCTTGATTGATCTGATTACATCTCCCTCATCATCAGGAATAAGTCAGGAAGAAGGAGTATAAAGATAGAAGCCCTCCAAAGCCGTCGCAGACTGAGTCAGAGTAAGGTTAGCTCCAAGTATGTTGTCTTCATTACTCTTAGACCCCCTTGTTTCCTCTGAATGTACCCAGAGAATCTCATTTCCTGTTTACATTCAGGTCTGCAATCAAAGCCCTGCGTCCTGGAGGGTTACTCGTGTACTCTACCTGCACGCTTTCCAAGGCAGAAAATCAAGATGTGGTCAGTGACGCTGTGAACTCCTACAGTAACATCGTGCCCGTGGACCTTAGGGGAATCGCAAAGCATTGCTCCCAAGACTTCACGTTTGCTCCCACTGGCCAAGACTATGGGCTCTTGGTGATTCCAGAAAAGGGCAAAGCCTGGGGCCCAATGTACGTAGCTAAGCTGAAAAAATTACAGAGCATTGGAAGATGGTGACATGAAGTTTGTAAACCATGTTGATATATTACTGTATTTATTTTTCTGAGTTCTCTGCCGATTAATGTTTGAATAATTATGCGATCATTTTCCCTGGATCTATTTGAATCCTATTAAATTAATACTTTAGCATCTCAGAAGTTAGGCTTAAGAATTTTTCAGGTGTATATTTTCCGAGAATACATCTGTAGCAATGATTTAAAGTGGTACAGATGGTATTTGTTCTGTGTAATAAATCTGGTGTCTCTTACTTAATATTTTATAGTTAAATTAATCAGAATACATGGCTTTGTGCATAAAATGTTTAGAACTACACTCTATCCATGATTCTTTCCTTGGTGCTTTTAACCCTTTAAAGGTGCACTTTGCCAGCACTCTTCCTGTTTTCCTCCTAATTAGATGTGCAGATTTTTTTGTAAGACCTGATTGTTACTCTGACGCTAACTTCTTAAGCAGCATAGTTTCTAGTTCTAGCAAAATAGGTTTCTTATTTGCAAAGTTGTTTTCTGTTAAGAACTATCTTCTGTTTATTGCAAAGGTCAGTGACTCTATTGACACCAGTTTTATTCCCCCCCTTTTTCTGGTATTCACAAATGCTAATTGAAAGGGTAAATTATGTTGAAAGGCCTTTGGAACAGCAGGTTCACATACACATATTTGGCTTTCGACATTCAGCTTGTAGAGTAACGGCATCTATCCAGCAGGCTGTAAAGGAGGTACTTGAAATAAAACCAGAATGATTAATACCTGCCATAAGATTAATACCTGAGCTGTGTTTGGAGAGTTTTGTTACATAACTGTGGCCATAATGAGTGCTGCAGAATCTGATGATCTTACCGTTGCAGTCTGGAGAGGCTTTTCATCTCCCTCTGTGATAACATGTTACAGGAGAGTGTGATGTCACACGTCAATGCACAAGAGGAGGGCCTGATGAGAGTGGGTGGTGCTGCTACCAAAACCCAGTACTAGAGTCTAACTGGCTCTCTCTGTCTACACGTCCAGGGAACATTGTAGGTGTGCTTTACATGTGTTTACAATTTTAACCTCGGTTTCGGAGCATGTTTTCTCCAACTGCCTCACCATATTTTTCCAACAAATAAGAAGAGTCATGCAGCATACTTCAGTGTAAATTTGGAAATTAGTCTTTAAAAGTACTTTGTGATTATAGAAATAAAAGCTTTTGCTGAAGCTGAATATTTGTATCTTTTTGTTCTGCTTATTTAAATTGGGGATTATTCGCTAATTAACTATTTTATATTTTGCAAGTATATGTAATCAGATGCAAATAACTGGGAAGTCCTACAAAGAATGTTTTCTATGTACCTTTATTCTATTAACTTTTTGTATCTCTAGCCTATGTGTTTAAGTAAAGCCAGGTTTCTTTCTAACCCACTCAAATATATTGGGTTATAGAAGATTAGTGATGATGGAAAGGATGTTGTTTTAAATTTGTACTTATTGGTTTGTATTTCCTCTTTGAAATTGTCTTCAGATATTATAAGTTAAAAATGTATTTTGGTGGGAAGGTTATTTAAAAAGTAAATTTTCACTGCACATTTTGTTGAATGTTATTATTTCTCCAACATAGTGCTACAAAGCTAAATTTGAATATTTGGTCTGATGTCAGATTAGACTTTATATAATATATAAAGCATATTCATACGTTGATACATATCATGTATATACACATACTGTGTATTACTTTATTATTAACAATAAGTATACAACTGGGATGAGGGAAAAGAGAAAAGAAAGAAGGGGAAATTGTGTGTATATATGTATACAGGATAGCTAACATATTTGTACTACTGACTTCTATCGCTTTATTGAAAGGAACAGTTAATTAATTATTTGATCAGTCTTACATATCTATATTTGTTTTCCTGAGAAACCACTTTGAAGGAATCAATATGTAATACAACCATTGTTAATTTCCTATCACCTTGTCTGATCTTGTACTGTTCTTGGGTTATTTTGTAAGTGTATGTGCGTTTATTAATATGTTTCCATTCTTTTATTTTTTAAAATTACTTGTTCTGTTCTTGGGTTATTTTGTAAATGTATGTGTGTTTATTAATATGTTTCCATTCTTTTATTTTTTAAAATTAAAATATAATTATAATGAAGCAGCCAACATTTATTGAGCATTAAATAGTTAATTACATTCTTTACATATTTTCTTTTTTGCTCTTTAAACTTCCAGTTATGCATATTAAAATCCCTTTTTTGCGTGAAAAACCAAAGCTCAGTGCTGTTTATAATTTGCCAAAGCTACTCTAGTAAGAGATGGAAGGAAAGGGGAAGGGTGGAGAGCAAAGGGAAGTACGTAGATGTACAGCTCCTCAAGATGAATGTACTCATTGTGTACTCCAGACGTGCACCACTAATAAAGAAAAAAGAGTAGAGACAAGATTAAAATTGACTCCAACTGTGTGTGCCTATAATTCAAGCGCTCTAGGAGGCTGAGGCAGGAAGATTACAAATTCAAGCTCACCATGGGTAACTTAGTGAGACCACTTAAAAGTAAACAAATTTTGAAAAGGGCTGGAGATGTAGCCCAGTGAAAATAACTCATGTTCAGTCCCTGGTACCACTAAGAAGAAAATAGCATCAACAACAAAAAGCAGGCTCTGTTGCCGGCCTTTCTCCAGGTACTGTTCTGCTAAAGTGTGGTTTAAAGAAACTCTCGTGATTGTCAGTTGGCTTTGCTTCTCTTCTCCATTGTTTAGCTCTGTTTTAATGCAGTTCTGTAAGTCTGGGGCATCAAAATACTTAAAATATTTGGGGAAAAATCTTTGAAATATTTCAGGGCATGTTCTAAAGAATTGCATTCTTGTGTTTGTAATTCCCAGAAATTTCCCAGAGAAGTATTCTGTGCTTTCTGTTTTCTTTTGTAGAAACCAAACTGGAGAATGGAAATTTGAAGCAGCCTTGCAGTGTCAGTTGGAAAGCAAGGAGTAATTGCTAGTGCTTTCTGTGCCACTGAGCTATTTTTGCAATCTGTTTACAAAAATTTTGGTTACCAATACATAACTTCTCACTGCCGTCAGCATGCTGAGCAGACACTCATGTCGAAAACATACCATGAATAAATGTACTGCATTTAAATGGCTTGTACTGAATGTTTAAAGTATCGGATATTATTGGTAGTTTAGAATCTTGATGCCCTATAGTTTTTTGTCCTATTACATACATCATATAACCTTAAACTTATGGTTACATATTATTTCCATAGCATTATTGTTAAAATTTTCCTTTCGTAGTGTAGGGAGATATAAAATGACAGCAACCTGAACACTTACTACATGACTAAATAATCACAAATCTGATAGATTCTTATCCAAGAAAGCTTTATTCCTGCGAGAGGAGTATCAGGTCATTTGCATAGACTAAATCAACTCATCTGGAATACAAAGAGAAAATTGGAGCCCATAGCTACATTTTATTAGATGCCAAGAAGTCCTTTGATGCAGTTGAATGGGACTACTTGTGTTATGTGTTAGGTAAGTTTGGCTTTGGGGACAAATAGAGTAGTAGCCCGGTGTATTTTCAACCCATTTATCTGGTTCAGAATCAGTGGTTTATAATCCATCTTTCTCTGCCTTATTGCTGTGTTGGGGTGGAAAGTAAGGCTGAGGCCCATCACTGACTTGACTTGTCAGGCTGACATTGGAGCGATAATGTCACCCAAATCCCATGGGCATCTGAGGAACATCCAGAGGGAGCCTCACAAGTTAACTAACGTGCTGATAATCTGCTACTTGTGCTGAAAGATCCAAGAGCGTTTGTCCTGAAAACATTAGAAGTATTGTCAGAATCTGAATGGCTTCAAGGCTGAAAAGTCAGTGGGGAGAATCAGAAACACAATCTTCACAGAATAGTTTCTATTAATATTATTGTGTGACATTTAAAATATGAACTTAGAAATGGCTTGCAATTTTCATTAGGGAATAATTAGTAAACAAATCATTTAAAAATTGACCTGTAATGCAGTGCTAATTTTAATTTTTAAAATAAGTTTCACCAAGTCTAATGAAAAATGAAGCTTGGTAGAGCATATACCTCTTTAGAATGTAATTGCTAACTCAAACATTAATTCCATACCTCTGTAACTTTTTACAAATGAAGAAAGTAATTTTCCTTAGTCATGTGAGACTATAGAGTCATTCTACAGCCCTGTGAAACCATATGCTACCTTAGGAAAAGAACTGCTTGCCTCGTCAGGAGCTGTTTAATAGTATACATCATGACTCAATAAAGCTTGCTATGGCTGTCAAAAAGAATTTTCCACTGCATATTGCGATGGAAAAGCCTATACGAATAAATATAGTGTCTAGGAGGACCAACAGAAACTAAAAATGAATAGCCTACTGAGAAACAAAAACCAGGACTTCAGAACCCAGTTCTGTCCTACTTTTTAAAAACAAGTGGGAATAGAATTGCATATAGTAATAAGAACAGACAAAATACAGAGATTAGCGGTGGCAAGAGGAAAAAAGAGGAAGTGAGCTTTAATTAGCTTGTAAATATGTTCTAGAGTGAAAGATTCCTTACTTACCCAAACACAGTACTGCCCAGTTTTCCGAAATAGTGCACCTTCCCTGTGCTGGTGTTGTGATAGTCACTGGGCAGAGGTGCACAGGAACTAGCAGGTGAAGACCTCTGCTGACTGAAGAGCTGGTGTTGGCAGGGAAGGCTTGTTGGTGGTTCATAGCTCATAGCCAACTCCCAAGAAAAGGGAAGGGAGAATGGGCGACAGCCGGCTCTGACGCCGCTGGGAATAGCTCTGTGCGGTATCTTCACCATGAGTAGGTGCCGTAACTGCCTGGACCGCACTTTGTGTGGTGGATGGTCTTCTCAACTTGATCATTCTTCATTGTAAGTCCTAGATTATAACAGGTGTGCCTGATAAACAGGGCGGACACAACTCTAACGCTGTTCTTCAGTGAAAGATCCTTCACCAGCCCTGTGAGGTAACGTTCACCTGTAGTTCCAGCTCCTTGGGATGCACAGCTTTGGGGACCCTTTGAGCCTGGAAGTTGGAGGCCAGAATGGGCAACACAGCAAGACCCTGTCTCAGAAAAGGAAAAAGATTATTTGTCATGTGTCATAGTACAGCTGTGTCTGTTAAATCATCCATGTGAACCTGAAGTTTTACCCCTAGGTAAGTTTTTGAGCTCCTGCTAAATCTACATATAGTTAACAGGTTTCTTTTCCTGGTATTTGAGTTGGCAGAAGCAAGGAAAAGGTGATTATTAAAACAGGAAAATTTTAAGTGAGCTCTGGGCCATCATTCTGAGGCAGGCCCTATGCTGGGTCAGTCAAACATTTTTCATTAGCAGTGGATAATATGATAAGACATGAAGGGTTTCGATACACTATTTGGAAACATTACAACTCCCAAACTCTGGTCTTACACACTCAGTGAGGACTTCAGTGTTTGGTTCAGGTCTTCTCCATTGGAAGTCTACTGCACTGCAGGCAGGCAGAATCCAACATTTCCATGGAGAACCTCCCCAGCACTCTACCTTCCTGTTTCTTTGCCTCATCCTCAACACCTCTGGTCTCCCTGTGTGCAGCAAATTACATTCCTGAACCTTCCACAGAATGTGGCATCACTAAGAACGCTGCTCTGTAGCAGGCCTCTCTGAAAGGTCACCCACACTTTTCAGTTTTCTCCCACACTCATTTCCCACCTGCTGCCTCCCATCTCACAGTCTGTACTCGCTGTTATTGCTGCAAAATGTTCTTCCCACAACAAGACCTCATCATGCCGTTCCTCTGGTGCTATAGATTGGATTTGGGATGTTTTCCCAAGGCCTGAGTGTTAAAGGTGTGGGCTCTGGCCCGTGGTGCCAGTGGGAAGTGGACTGGGTAGGATGTCCTTGCTTGGCAGATAAACACATCTCCTGTACTTGTGGTACCAACATCTGTATCAGTCAGTGCATACTAGAAAAGCATTTAATGGAAGACGTACAAATACTTGAATGTTTACAGAAACAGGCTTACAGTGGCCACCCATTGAGACAGATGTGGAAGAGTGCAAAATGTCTGCATGCTGGAGATGAGGGATTCAGTCAAAGGCAGAAGTGTCCTGTGTGAGCCCATATCTTCTGTCTTCAGTAAATCCCACAGCCACACTCAGAACTGTGCTGGTCCAGTTTAGTTAGGCATTTCTTATGCAAGTTAACACA